TATTTTACCCTTTTCCTACTGAACTGTAGCTCTGTAACATTCTACAAAACAGGAATTCGTACATTTGCATTCTGAAAAATGTTCCCTAATCTTGGCTGAAGTGCCTGTAAATGATCAGTGAAGGGAATCAAAAATTCTCCTTTCATGCAGAAATATTGCAGATCTTCAGTATACACTGGTAGCACTATCTGCAATTCAGTATTTAGGTTTTTTAAATATTGTCTTGCAGAAAAAAAAGACATTTAATACTGAATATAAGATAGACTTGGTTAAGGGGTGTTTTGCAAGGAAGAATCCCTTTCTCCTTTTGTCCTGGGGCTGTTGGAGGATTAGCATTGAGAAATAAATGTGTTCTGCACTTTTTGTTCCTGTTTTACAACACAAATTCAATGTTTATTCATGGCACAGCTCTCAGCCCACACTTCCATGTCAGTGGGTGTTACTGGCCAGTGGTAGTTAATTCTTTTAATGGGAGTGTAATTTAAATAGGAACCAAACTTCCTAAATTTGATACCTTTGGATTCGTTATGTATTAAAATGTATTTTTCTGGATTAACTTCATTATTTTTCTGGAAAGAAAAGCCAAGTCAGTTCCTGAATTAAAGTTACAGGAATTAAAACTGAATTAAAGTTACAGGAACTGAACTGAGCTGGAAGGAAGGGACAGGGTGGAACTGGAAGGTCTGTGTGGGTTATGACCTTGTACTTATAAAAAATGGATTTACTGCATATAGAAAAACATATTTATAAACAAAAAATGAAGGTTTGGAGCTGGAGTGGTGTCACTGCAGTGCTGCCATGGACAGCTGAGGAGTTGCAGTGCAGGTTGGAGCTCCAGGGGCTCAGAGGAGGATGAGGAGGGGTTTGTTTGTTTGTTCCCTGCTCTGGAGTTTGGACCATTCCTGTTTTGCAGATCATGCTCTCCCCCGATGCCAGGAACACGGCGTGGGTTTCCTTTGATGGCAGGAAGAGGCAGGAAATCTGCCATGGAGACAGGTCAGACCTTTCTGCTGATTGTATTCTCCCTAAGTATAGAAAATCCTGATTCACGCAGCTCCCTCATTCTCCAGCATCTGCCAGGAGGGGTTTTGGCAGCGAGGGAGAAGCTTTCAAAAACCCTGACACCTCCCAGAGCACAGACTGCACTGAAAGGCTTTCATTTCTAAATTGAGTTCTTTAGATCTGCCCATAACAGCAAGTGAAATGTTCACACTGTAAACATTGCATGGGCATATCTTGAGAAAACTCTAAATTTTAACTTCAAGATAAATCTTGGGAATTCTGAAAGATACAAAGCAACAGGAGCAGCCTGTGAGCACAGGTGTGGAATACTCCATGTACTTTAAACTGGGTTAACTGGGAGGGGTTGTGGTCACTTGCTGTGGCCTTGAGGGAGCAGAAGGGAGTGAAATCCCTCAGTTTGTGTTCAGAACGTGCTGTGGAGGCGTTAAAAGGCAGCTCTGGCAGGGACATTGGCAGATTGGTTATTCAGGATGCCTTTTCCTCTTGGCCCACACAAGGTGCCATGGAGGAAAATGCAGAGCTGGTGTGACCCTCCATCCTGGGCAGGGTTTATTCCCTCTGAGCTTGGGTAATTTATAAAGGAGTTTGGATCCTCTCTAAAGGAGTTTGGATCATCTCTAAAGGAGTTTGGATCTTCTCTAAAGGAGTTTGGATCATCTCTAAAGGAGTTTGGATCATCTCTAAAGGAGTTTGGATCATCTCTAAAGGAGTTTGGATCATCTCTAAAGGAGTTTGGATCATCTCTAAAGGAATTTGGATCATCTCTAAAGGAGTTTGGATCATCTCTAAAGGAGTTCAGGAGCCCAATAAAGATTCAAACCCAAGCTTTGGCCCTTGGTTACACTCTGGAATCCTTGGCCTTGTTACTTAAAACTTGAAACTGAAAGGAGCCCAGTAAAGATTCAAACACAAGGTTTGGCCCTTGGTTAGAGTCCAGAATTTTGGGGTTTATTGCTTAAAACTTGAAATCTAAAAGCCAAGGTGGTGTCCTGGGTTTCCCTTGTCCCTTTGTGGGTGCAGGGTGCCATGGAGGGTTCCCAGACTGTCACACCAATGTCCCCAGGTCTGAGAGCAGCTGTGGCTCTGATGGCTGAGCTGCTGTTTGGCAGTGAGTCAGCTCCGTGCTGGGTGGGACAGGCTGGGGGTGCTCAGGTTGCTGCTGTCCCTGCTGACCTGCCCTGTGCTGTTGCAGTATCAGCATCACTACCTCCTGCTACCCCCTGCCCTCCATCTGCTTCCGGGACCCCGTCAGCGACTGGTTCGAGAGCCTGGCCCAGTGCCTGCACTGGAACGTGCGCAAGAAGCAGAACAACTTCGGCGTGGAGGAGGAGGAGTTCTGAGGGTGCCCGGCCAGCAGGGCCTGGCAGGGCAGGGTGGCAGAGTCCTCCCTTCT